CGTCAAAATTTGAACAGCTTCAAAAGACCATCAATATGTTTCATGACGTTGTCGTACGGCGTTTAAATGAGGTTTTGCTTGATAGATTTAATAGTTCTTAATCCTGCAATTTTTTGTTTTTCTACAACATAAGCATGACGTGAAGCATGACATGACATGACGTTCCATAAACTGATCTAACTTCCTTTTAGCAAAATGAAATGAATAGCATAGTTGCAAGATAAGAAGGGAAAATCATTTCTCATTTTTGACTTGAACTCTTAATGAGTTAATTAATTTTCCATTACATAAATAAATTAGTCTAACAATCTTTTGCTAAATCGCTAAACCAATACATGTCATTTTCCGCGCAATTTGACTAACTTCTAGTTTTACTATTACACATATTTTTATAATTTTGCTTAAAATTTTTTATTTCGTTTTCCATTTCATCCAATGCTTTGATGAACCGATGTTGACCTTTGTGCATTTTGTCAGATTTTTATTTATAAATAATGAGAAATATGAAATCGATTGAAATAAGTGATTTTAAAGAGATGCGAGAGCTGTTTCCGAAATAGCAGAAGAAAGTAGACGTAAACAGCGACGACATCATTCTGTTCAAGAGCCATCATCCGTTCGTATTCCATCCATTGATGATCCCGATAATCCACGTGTAAGAATTTCCCGTAATATCAGACTGTGAATGAAAGGCATTTAGACATGATAAACTGAGATAATTGATTCAGTTTAAATAGAATAATTGCTGATGGATTCTAACTTTTATCACTTCTGTTCATATCACATTCTGTTATCTCAAATCAAATTCGTTTCTATTTTTAGCTTTTCTCTAAAAACTCGTCAACTTCTTTCACGAAAGCGGTAAAACCCGAGAGAAGCGGCATGGATTTTGTGAATATCAAAGAAACCGTTAGTGATAAGAAATATTCGAGATGGTGTGGTTTATTGGCATCATCTCCTCCTGCTGGAAGTAATCGTCTGCCATCGAAAAAGCCACCAAAACGGCGAATGTCAACTTTTCTCTGACTAATCGCTGATATCCCTTTATAATGATGCATGAATAATGAAAATTTTCCTGCAAACAATCCTAATGAATGGCTAGATTTTCGTTAATTTCTATTTGAGAAATAATAAAGGCTAAAAAGTGAATGTAAATATTGTTTATAATGTTATTGGTTATATATTATTGGTTTAGTTAAGAATTTCAAGATGAATGGATTACATATTCGATGAATTCTTCTATACGAAAAAAACTTTAAGAATGATTAGCAGAGAAATGTTTTGGAATTATATTTGACTTGGAATTTAAATTCTAATGTCATGTTATGAAACTATTCCTAATCTTCCTTGAATTGTTAGGAATTTTACTAAAAGAATGTATGATTTGTTATAAACCAAAAATATACTATACCATATTATTTGAATGAGATTTGAACACTTCAAGCATAAAATATGCACTGAAGGAATGTTAGAATTGATGGAACAATGCGACGCTCCTCAGCATTATGCTTCATCCTCAGAATCGGAGTTAGATCTGCGATAGAGTGACTAAGGTCAATTAATATATTTCATCTTCTTGCCAGACATTTCACAAGATATATTTACTTATCTTTCTTGCTAAAGCCACTACACTTAGTTACACTTATTTAAGAGTTTAAATAAATTCTATTCTAATGCAATTAATAATAAAAATAATAATTATTAGGATAATTCATAATGAAAAACTGAAGTTAATTACAGCATAACAAGGAGAAGCTCAGAGATGAGGTTTATTGAGTTTGTAAGGTTTAATATTTGTTAGTTCAAAATGTTTATTGATTTTACAAAACTTTTCTTTCTTTAGGTAATAAGTAAGTTATACAAAATTTTTACTTTAGCAAATTTTGAGCAAAATTAATTTTTATAAAATTTTTCTTTGCATCGTTTTTTTTATCTTGTTTTATTAAATTAAAACAGAAAAATACATCAATTCTAAACAATGTTGAACTTCCATGTGATTGATTTTTGGAAAATGATCATTTAAAGATTTGGAATTTTGAAGGAAATGTGAACTCTTTACTGGAAGCTTAGCTCCAAAGATACACTTTAGAGGGTTAAACATGAAAGAGAATATCTTACTGGATGTTTTTAAATTCAAAAATCCGAAAGGAATATCTTCGGAAAACCTCACAGAGCTGCTGACACTCACAGTTCAATGCATTTGCAAATTAAATAACATTTGCTGACGCTCTTTATTTTGGCTTCATCTATATGGCAAGCCGTAATTGAATTTTTAAAAGCCGAAAATTCAACTCTCATATCACTACGAGAATAAGGACGATTCTATGATAAATTTATACAATTAATTAAATTTTTTGAATCCAAAAAGAAAAATACTTTGATAAGTCACTTTGTAATGCGGTTTTATCACAATACTTTGGCTCTAATTTCAAATCTTTTGAAACTTTCAATATTAATTTGAATTGTTTAAGAACATGTTCTCGTGATATTTTATTGAAAGAAAAAAGGAGCAATTATTTATTGGCTTACAAAATTGATTTAAAATTTACGAATAATAAATTGGTTGCTTAAATAAAAGATTCAAAGATACTGAAATGATTAAAAAAATTTTAAGGTATAAGTGATCAAATTATCTTCGAATATCGGAAAGCATAACAGCTCTTCTTTTCAATATCTTTAAAATTATTTTAATATCTTCAGTATATTAGAAAAATAAGATATCATTTATTTGATTTATATTCATGAAATTCTCACAATTCAACTTTGTTATCCTACCGAAGGTACAACTTCCTTCTTTCTCCCTAATATATCGTAAACTTCCGCATAAAAATTAATCACGATGGGATTGACAGAGCCTCCTGCCGCTTTATTCTTTCTCATTGTTTTCAGTAATTTTATATAATGCTATACGTGTAATATGAATTACCCTGTTGTTAAAAAAGAAAACCATACATAATAGAAATTTATTACGAGATAACCGATATTGAAAATACTAAACACAAATGATCTGAATGCTAACAGTTAGAATGATATATTTAAGTTAGACATAGAAAAAGGGGAGAGAAATGAGCTACGATAGAGGGTTCAAGAATTAAAACAAAACCATTCTGATTAACCAGCTTCTTCACTCCAGATTTGACTTGGTCATCGATGCCAAAATGGATGGTTTTCGGTGCAACTTTGTAACATATCAAAGTGATTATAGCCATCTAACTCTTGCCTAATATAGATGAAAACTTTTGAATCCGAGAGACAAAAAAAACACTTTATAGCATAGTATCATGAAAGCGGTAGTTAATCAATACTTTATAAAAAACGCTCAATGAAGATAAGTAATGTAGAAAAAATAAGTTTATTTATATCATGAAATCATTTTCCAATTATTTTGCAAATAGTACATTATCAAATAGTACTAAACATGGCACTTCTTAAAGTTTTTGACATACGCGAGTCAGCTATACAAATTGATCGAAATGATTATGAAAAACTACACTGATTTTTTTACTTTGGAAATGAACAACTCATTTCAAACCAATACTCAAAAAAAGAGAAAATGTTAGTGACATACTTTACTAAAAACACGAAAAAAATAGTAATTGATACCAGCCACTTGGAATTAAAAACTTCAGTTCAAAAAAAAATTCGTGTGATAGTATGAAATCATACTTTCCAAAACTTGCACTCGAATATTACTGAACTCTAAAAAAAAGTCTGTTTACATAGTCGTTGTTATGAAGCTTAAATTTTCACTACTTCACCTCCTTGAATTTCCAAACGTAAAAGCAACAGGGAAATTTTAAGATTCGAGCCTATACGATGCGTTAAAGTAGAAGGCTAAAATTTAAGATTGAATTACCGAGATATAATTTGCTCAATAAATTTTTTCAAAAACAAAACATCCAAAAATGAATTGGCTGCAAAAATGGAAATATGAAAAAATCACAGATAGTCAGCAACGCGCCATACATATAACTTCAAGAATCGATTACCGTTAATGATAGTTGAAGATCTTTAGATTAATTGGAAATGTGCACGCTTTCCGTACCAGGAAATTCAAAATAAATCTGAATTGAGGCAAGAAATTGAAAGTTGACAAGAGCATAAAAAATGTAAACAAATATTCATTCGGTCATTCCGTGCAGTGCATATATTTTATTACTGGTATATTATCCATCGGCTGAAGTTATATGTCGGCTTCTCGAAAAGGATTGAAGGCTATATCTACATTAAACCATTCCATCTAACCAACTGTTTCAGTCATTTGCTTTTGATAGCGCACTAGAAAGTATTGAAACTATATGGTGGAAAAAACTGATTAAAACCCTTGCATCCAGGAGGAAATATCGAAATAATAAATAATGGATACTACTTTAATGCTCTGTCAGCTAGAGCCCTCATGAATCGACCACAAGGATATTCAGGACTGACATTAAGAAAAGGTACTAAACGATTCAAAGCAAAATTAGAGTGGATATTTGAATATCAATAAAAGCAGAAGATTTATGCCCCGATTCGAGAATTTTGTAAAACGCTTCCTGTATTAAATACTATATCATCCTCGATTTGTTGGATTATGGGTGAGGAATTATTGAAAAAATGAAATTAAGCACAGCAGGCCAAAGGAAGAAAACAATATAAAATGAAATTTATTTCGCTGATAAAAAAACTATAAGCAAACTGAAGCAACCAATAAGATTCAGGTTAGTTGACCATAATTTCCACTTTTCTGTATTTTGGCTTAGGTTTATTAGCGAATAACATGTCGCGTGAATAGTAAAAGCCACGATTAACCCAATGTCCGTAGACTTCAAATACAGCAGCTTCGGATTCGTGTCGAATCTAAATTGATTTTTGCGAATAAGTTTTTACGAATTTTTGCGAAACAGTACCGCAATTCACTATTCTAAAAAATGTTTCATTTCGGAATTAAAAAAATTCGATATTTTGCGATAAGGTATTTTGCGCACAGAAAAACAGAAACTCCTTCTCCCTACTCAACAAAAAAATTTGCTAACACATTGCCTCAACATTTCAGATCATTTTTCAAAATAATGGTAATACTTACATCACGATCACGAAATGGACGTTGCCTCAATGCATCACGATCAATCAGTAATTTCAATACTTTGATATTCGTTAAACGTACGAAAAATCGCACCATTGTAATACCGTATTTCCAAAGTTTTTTGTAATCTCGTTTTTCAACAATAAGTTGTTGCTCTATCACATTCTTCTGAATAATGACAATTCTTCCAAGCACAGTTTTGAAATATGATTAAATATTTGAAAGAACACCGCATACTAATTATATTTTTCTATTCTTAATACCATACCGAAAATTATTTCTCTTTGTGAATGAATTACCAACAACTCATAATAAATTAATGAAAAATCAAATATATGGAAACAACACTTTGGAAGAATAATATGGTAGTAATGAATAGTTTTTGTCACAATCATGAAATTGTGGCACATCTATCGATTTTCAATGAAGATTGAAACAAACTTTTAGTGTTACAGTAGCAGTTTTCATCCATGGATGATTCAAACACTGATTTGCCGTCAAACGTTGATGAACATCAACTACTAGCAAATGGCTGATCTAAAAAGTACTAGGTATATGTTAAGATTTTTTTTTGCAAGATGATAACAAGAAAGAGTTATGCTTGCCATAGTATCAATCAAGGTTCAGAGATCTCCCTAAGTACTTCAGAGTTAAAAAAGTTAAAAAATGTCTAAAAATTCACATGAATCTGAAATTTATAAAAACTCGACTGATTTATATTTTATCCAATAGCAGAAACAGAACTAGCCAAATCTTTAGCATCGGAAGTGATTTGAGACCATTGCTCTGCTCGAAATTCATATTTCGCTTCCTGTATCATACGAAGCATCATTAACTGTCGTCGATGGTAGAAAGGTGCGCAACCAGCAAGCCTAAATGGTAAAAACTCTCGTTAATTTAATTTATTAGAATTTAATTTATCCATTTTTCTCTAAACCTGTAAAACTATTTGTGTGCTAAGAGATCTCTCGATTTTTTAATAGTGTAACTGATGATACGGAAGCGCCACATTTTCTTGCTGATTTTTTTAATCTGAACAACATTTCTGATGCTTCGCCTTGTAAGGAAGGAAATACTGGATTACTAATAGATGTAAAAATAAGAATAAGTGACAAGGAACTTAAAAGGTATATAAAATAACACCAAGCGCCCAGTCATCCACTTCAACACCGTATCCATCTACATCATCGTACATCTGACATCTCAGCATTTCAGGCGCTAAATAACCAGGCGTTCCCAATAATTCTGAAAGCTTACACTTTCAAAGCTGTCACTTAATCTTTACAAGAACCCGCACCTGTTTCATAATCTCATCGAATATTTAATTTTTCTTTCACTAACTTCAACAGGATAATTTTTCACAAACCAATAAAAGATACAAATAACCTTTCAACTTTTGTCCTGGTTGTAATTGGGTAGCGAAGCCAAAATCACTTATTACAATTCTTTCTTCATCAATACAAAGAATATTTTCCAACTAAACTTCTCAAAAAAAATTATATTTAAAATTTGACGAACAAAAATCATCGAAAATATGCAGCTGTCTCAACTTGTGAAGAAACTTCTATCAAACAAGTGATTATAAAGCAAGAAGTATAAGCGACCTTGATATCTCTGTGTACAATATTTTTATCGTGCATATAAGCAACACCATTAAAAAGCTGTCGCATCAGACGTCTTGCTTTCTTCTCACTAACCGTTACTGACTTGTTGAGAACATCGAATAGCTCACCCTTTGGGGCCCTGAAAAAACTCAAAGGAACTATCAAAATATCTGACAGAGGAGCAATTATGAAGAAAATGGGGTCCGTTTCACAACGTCCATTTAAATTCAAATGAAGAGCAAAACACAATGTTTTTCGCTTAGTTTGCAAGTCTCTAGGAGGGAATTACTCTTAACTGCAAAACTACAATCGTTAAAAACAATTCAATAAAATCATTAACTCGAGAATCTGATCTTGTATGACTTTTTCGTGAATCTTATCAAGCTGCTTTCTAAGTGGTAACATCATATGCTATCTCTCAAAAACAAATTAGTTACTAACCTAACTTCGAGAGAAATTCGACCCTCTATCCTTTTTAAGTAGAGAATGAACTTACATTTCAAAAACAGCGAAAAGAAATGCCGGTGTTTCATAGAAGTCATGTATACTAACTGAAAACAGCAATCAGAAAAAATTAATGATCGAAGAACTTGTGTTCTATAAATTAATATCTAATGCATCTTTCAATTCATCAAACATTACTATCCAAAAAGCAAATGCACAAATTTGAATACAAAACACTAAAAATAAATACAGGTTGAAGTTCAGATATCACAAAGCAAAATGCAATTGAACCCAGCAGAACTAATATTTCTTGTCTAAAACTTAACATTTGTCTAGAAGAAGTTTCCTTGAGACCAAAAGAACTTTCCATTAAATAAGTTTCTATATTAAAAAACTAAAGAAACAAGTGAAAGTATGGAAAACTCGCTAATTGAAGGATGATCTGAAAGTTGTCGCAGCAAGTTCACTTCGCTAATCGTTTCATTATACAATCGACGAGCTTCCACTTCTGATTGTCGCTCGGTACTGATATCAACAATTTTTACTGCAAATTCCAAACCTGTTCCTTTTTCAACACAGAGTCGAACAGTTGATGCCAATCCATTTCCCAATACCTTAAAAATAATTTTCCTCTGTCCGATAAATTTAAAAAAAATGATTAAACATAATATTATAATTGCATTAATTGGACAGCTGTTATTACAACCTCTTTCCTAAAAATAAGCAGTAAGCACAAATAACGTTATGATCACGAAATATTAATGTTTTCAGCAGCATTATATTTGACACTAAATAATTTATAGAAATAAATTTTTCTTTTGTTTCAGCAGCTGTTAAAACAACATACATTTTTTACTTCGAAGGCTTTGTAGAACTCAGACGTTGAAGTCTCGAGTGCTTCGGATTGATCCGTTTTATCTGCAATAACGTAAACTTATTTCCTTTTATGACTCTCTTAATGAAATTTCAATGAGTTTTTAGAAATAGTACATGACTTCAAGCACATCTTAATTTTACTTCAAATTTGGTTATTTCAAGCAAAACCGAAGACTTTCAAAAAAAAAAGAAACCTCCAGTATCCAATTCATCATCCAAATCGAGATAATCAGTCATAACCGCTCTCAAATGTTTTTTTCACACTTCTCAGGAAAGCAACTGACTGGACTGAAATAGAAATCAACCATTTTGTTCCAATACATCCACGTAAAATACCACTCCTTCGTATTTGTTTCCACTGCTACTGTGGAAATTATTCACTTCGCTGCTGTTGATCGTTTCGCGGATCTACGAATTACTCCTCCAGCAGAGAAATCAAAAATTGGAGATTTGAGAGAAAATTCAATGCTCAATCAGAACTGACCCAAATCTGTATATAATTACCATATAAATCGCCACATTATTAAGCTAATCCACTAATCAAACCGTTATAGCTTTGAGTTTCGAAATCTAGATAAAGCAACTCCTGAGAATAATTGATAGTGCGCAAACTCGGCTGCTATTGATCATCAACACTTGTTTACAAGTCAAATATAACTCCTCATGTAATGAGTTGAGCTTAACAAAAAGTAGATTTATCACTTTTATAGAAAAAATCAGACAATTAAAGGTACAAAAAGCATTCACTGAACGCCTTGGTTAATAATTTCAGTGCGAACTTCAACAACAACAGCAACAAATTTATTTTTGACCTCGTAAATATCAGTACAAAAAAGATAAAACAAATTACAGAAGAATTTCAGACAACTTCCTTTTATTATAACGCTAAATGAAATTGTATTTTGAAGTCCAAATTTTGGGGCTCTGTAGGGCTTCAAATTTACCCCCAGTGAATTCGCAGTTCTAGCATTCTGTCGGTCCATTTCCTTTTATATTCCAAATTTTCTAAAACCCAGAAAAGGCAAGTTTTTAAATCTGAACTGTTAGTAGTAAATCTGAACTACTTTATGGTATGATAAATTACTTCTCTGTGAAAAATTACCAGCGTTGTTCGAGAAGAAAGATTAAAATAAGAACGCTAAAATTTATGAAAACCATACAAACCTTATTTAATCTACATATTGGTGGGCTGACCTAATCAGGTTTCTGCTACATTGTGAAATTTTCTGCAGAAAAAAGCTACTGCGAAACTTTGGAAGGAGAAACGAAATGAAAGTTACAATGATATGCATTTGCATATACATAATGACAATGATGACTAAATTGAGGATGAAATAACTAAAGTCTTTTCATTCCCACTCCCATTTTGGGTTTCCAAGTTTCTCAGGGTAGTTCTTCAATTTTCACTTTTCCTGAGGAAAGTAGAGAAGCAAGTTTTTTTCATCCCACATTCTAATTGAAATTATGAATGAAAAGCGCTTTCGAAAACAGTTGAGCAAATGCAGAATTGAAAAAGGGAAAAAAAAGATAAAATTATACAATACAACAGCGGATGATGGACAATAATTTTAAATATCAAGAAAACAAACTACAGCCATAAAGGCGAACGTCTACCGGATGAATTCACCCTGCAGGCCTAGCATAATCATCCGTGTATTACAACACACAAGTGTTACATGCTTAGCAAAAATTATGTGACAATTTTTCCAAAGCAGTGCTTTTCGAATACACTTTAGAACTTACTACATATATTCCAATAAGAGACTAAACTTAGAATTAACATACCGGGGTCAGTCTAACGTATGGGACATAATATAATAACATAATCAGCTTTGGATGAACTCCAAAACAATATTCCATTTCGCAGACACTCTATTTCCCACTTTTTTCAAGGTTAACCGATACAAACGCGACAACTTTTAACTAGAAAGAAACTTCAACACATATGACATTTAACGCTCATTACAAACAAACGATAAAGCATTATGATTTAAAAATGTTGCGCTATTTATGAAATCAACAGCTTTAAGAAAAACCATCTGTGGAAGAAGTTTCTTTTTTAAAAGCTGTGGAAGAAGATAATCTAGAAGTAACTGCAACATATCAGATCTATAAATCAAATGCATCTTGCCTTCAAAATGTGCTCTAATGTTGGCAAAAAAATGAGGTAAACAGAATTAAGGCATGACAGAGTGAAGTTTACAAAATTCCCTTTACACTATGCCTTCCTAAATTTGTTTCATAACAAAATAAATTAAAAGCTTATAACTACAAAAATCAGAAAATGCAGAAATCGATCGAAAACCCCCATGTTTCCTTATAATTCCACTATTTTTCTTAAAATTACCACATTATTGAAAACCATAAAAAGCGCAGTACTCAAACAAGAACAAAGAAATGAATGAATAGAATGAGCTGAGTAAAGCAGTATTAATGGTAAAGTTAACAGCTCACATTATAGATTTCACATTAAACAATCGTAGATTACGCCATCAAAACGCAAAAAATGGCATAAATATAAGCAAACAAAGCTAGCGAATATACAGCTAAAATATTTCTTGAATAATATCGCTAGGAACTGCTAACAAATTCTTTTCTCTCTGAAATAGCTTAATTGCTAACAAAACTATGTGTCACATTCTACCATAACAGTTAAGGAAGAAATAAAAAATGACTAGGATGTACTAAATCCATCAGCTAAATATTTGGACATCCTTCATTCCTGCTGTTTCCTTATTAGATTCCCTTAGGAACCATTTACTCATTACATTGAAATATCTTAATTGGCATTCTTCCTTAAATTTATGAAGTCATAAATTGTGAATTCTTTATAAAAATTTGGCAGAATGGGAGCAAGACAATTCATTATCACTTGCAAAAACAGAAATATCATTAACAAATAAGA